TACTCGGATACTTATTCTAACGAAACCGAATAATGGTAATCGTTTAGCTTACCAATATGCCGCTTACTTTCAGTCTTAATTCAAAGACAAATTTAATTGCTCACTAAATTAATAGTTCCAGAAGACTGCTCTACTCCTCTCTTCGAAATACTTTACCCGATCGTGTTTTACTTCAAAATATGTGTATACTGGCCAGCTGATGTTGCTTATCCACTTACACTGTTTTTCAGTTACAATGTCCCATCCATTTCCTATCAAACACAACATCTCTTAAACCATCAACTAGTTACCATCATTTCTAAATAAATAAGCTTAACTATTCGCATGTAAACGATGCTATAAACTTTATCACTTACGTGATGTTTCAAATTTCGATTAATCAGTTTTCCCTTACATGAGCACCTGTTTCAATTTTAACGGATATTTCTAACCTTTGACTACTGAATTAGTACGTTTCGTTATATACCATCCATACGAAATATAGGTACTGATAATAATTACTGCTAACAGATTTATCCCGAGAATGTACTCCATACTGACGACAATATTCCTCAGGGGCGGACGTATCTTCTAAACGCGCTACTCAATACAACACATGACTCTAACCCCATAACTCTGTAGCTCACAACATTCTATAAAGTTAGTAGTGACTATTAACAAGTAGAATGTCTATTTGAGGTGTAGAGAACACATTTATTAGTGATTCGACACAAAATACAAAATCAACGGTACTGGAAACCACTCTCTTCAGCAACGAATCCCACAAGGTCACTGGGACTACAGATTATCTAAAAAAGAAAACAAGGGTTCACAGGATGTATACATGAATATGACTACCAATATAATATTAACGAGATAGCACAGTAAGAATTAATGAAAGTTTATATCGATGTGCAATTACATCAGTCACTATTTTTGACACAAGTGAATATTTAGACGAAGTAATAAGAAGACGTAATTTGTCTGAGTCGTGTAGTGTTGTATTTGTGCAACACATTTTGGACAATGTGGTCACGCATGGACTTGTTATAGGAATACATATGAGATTAATACAGTTAAAAGTCTAGAAAATAAATTTAGGTGGAATTAAAACCACATATTGGAGGTCAAAATAACAATGAAGATCACTAAACCAAATATCAGAGGTACTAGTACATCTACCCTGAATAGTATCAAAACGAAGTTTAACAAAGAAGGTTTCGTGTGATGACGAATAGTCTTGGAATTCACAAAAGTGGTTTAAACTTCCTAATCAAACTTCGGCTTCCACAAACTTTAGGATGCAATCCAAACACGTTTTACAGATAGGTTTAAAAAATGTGCAAACGTCAGTTTTATGTCCTGTCCCTATAATATGTTTCGAAATAGAGGAGCTGGGACCCCATTAATAACTTCTGAAGATTCTGTTGCTTCTGGAGGCATTTAGGAATATGATGCGTAGCCCTTACTTGCAGAAGTCGATGAGCCTTCCCTAAATGGATACAGCAACCACTTCTAAACCTTACGTCCATAGCTTTAAGAGATGTCGGACACTACTTCTACGTGGTTTTAAAATAATTTTGTGAATTAACTTCGAACAAGCGCGAATAATGTGGCGTCAGGACAATAACAGAAATCGGAAGTTTATGAAACCAAACTCACTAATAGGACAAAGTGACGCACACCACTGATGTCTTTACGCACCTGATCACGAGGATGGTATTGAAATCCACCAAATTACTCAAATGTTGCCGTGTGCATTTAAATCATTTAAAAATTTTGGCAGAAAACACTGAATGTTGTAAGTGATCGTAAAACATATTACAGGTTCTTCCCATTTGTGAACACTGACTTTCGCTTGTATCTATGCATTCCATTGACTTTCAGCTATCAACACCACACAAAAGTGCGGAAGGATGCTAAATTTGATATCAACCATATTCCTCGGTTCCTGTAGCAGTAAAAGGTACTGCACAAATGCTGATAGGGAAATTTGAGACCGAGTACAAGTTTCCGCCAATCTGCAAAGAAATTTATCGAATGACAGTCGTTGAAATGTACGCGAAGCTTACTCGGCATGCCAAAAATCACTGCATGAACCATGTATTTAAGCGTCCTGTCACACAAGCAATAAGTAAATGCTCGAGAACAATATCGAACAATAATTTTCATATAAATTCATCCAACAAGAGCAAAATAAGCACCGAAATCGCGTCTACTGCGTTTGCTGGACGACTAGCTCCAACTCGAATCAACGAAGCCGCGCAAATGCCGTCAAGGTTAAGCCAAAGGCGCCACTTCAAATAGGGGATATGCTTTATCAACGCCCGAGACTAAATTACGCCATTCATTGGCGTCCTCCTCGCTAATCTTAGTAGGTTTTATCTACCTGCTAATCACCGGTGTGGATGAGGCTTCATCTACCAGTCCCTGGGAGACTTTAGTTGCAGGTTTTCGACCCCTGGTACACCTCTTCTTCGTGATAGTCTTTCCGTTACTGTCACTGGCGGGCTTATCCAGTATCGTGGGGGCAGCGTGGGTGTCCGGAATATGTTGGGTGCTCTTCTGTGCTGAAGGACACTCATTGACAGAGACGCATCGGGAACATGTACTGTTTTATCGATGATGCTAGTCACGTCATCAGTGTCTGAGCAATAGTATGTCTTCTCCTGTGGTGGAAGACCCTTGCAGTCCATGAGCTTTAGAGCCCCACTTAGAGTGGCAGTGGCTTCTGTATTACGAAATTCAGTCGTACTACAGCAGTCATTGCACAACCAGTTTGCTAGAGGTTGGCAGCAGCGTTTGTATACTGCAGGAGTTAGGTTTGTGCACATGCTGTGAAACCATCTCTTGCAGTTATCACACTGCGTACCCTCATACATCTGGAATCGGTACATAACCCTTCCACAGAGGTTTCTTTTGATCGGCAGGCTTTTTAGAGCGAATTGGGGAAAAACAATTTAAATATGACTACATGTATAACCCTTATAAATCAGGGATAATAAGCCAATGAGTGCACAAAAATAGGTATACATTATTCAGATTTAGATGATGAAGATAGAAGGCTCTTGTGGCCTATGTTAGTCCTTGCAAAATATATCTCTGCAGAGATATAACTTCTCTTTGAAAGCGTTCACCGATGGATCTGATACTACTGAATCAGGTAAGGAGTTCCAGTCGTTGTCACTCTGTGAGGAATTCTAAATTCTGCACGTATTTTAATCATACTCGGTTTGAGCAACTTTTTCCGGTGACCCCGTAAATGTATCCTAGGAAGGGAGAAAACGTTAGAAAGGTCAGTTCCTAAATCACCCTCAAGTGTACAGTATGCTGAAATTAAGTCGCCTCTCTTCCTTCTGTATGATAACGGGAACAGATTTAAATGCTCCATCCTCTTATCATAAGGAAGGTGTGAGATACCACTAACTAATTTTGTTCCTACTCTCTGTACTCTTTCCAGAATATGTGTCTCCTTTTTGAAGCATTGACTTGTCGCTTGTATGAAGTATTCTAGATGAGGCCTGACATATGTTGGGTAGAGTATTTGGAACATGCCCTCGTCTAATTGTTTGAGGGCCCTCCGAAGTGCCCATAGCATTCGAAAAGCCTAAGCTGCAGTTGCATTGCAATCTGCAGTTGTTTTCAAATCATTGCTGATAATGATTCCTAGGTCCTTCTGTTCGTTAACATCAGGTAGTTCTGCGTCCCCTTGAGAGTACTACGTATTAGACTTCTGACCTAAGTGCATTACCGCGCTTTTCCTAGCATTCATTTCCAAACTCCATAGGCTTGACCACTCAGTTTGTAGGACCAACCTATTCTCGTTATTATTTGCAGTTTTCCATATCTTAATATTGTCTGCAAATACTAATAAAGATGAAGTAAGAATCCCTGGTAATTCGTTGACGTATAACAGGAATAGCAAAGGGCCTAATACATTAGGTAATCTGTAAACCACTCACATAGGCATTGGTCTAGTCCGAAACTTTTAAGTTTACTGAGGGAACCTAAGTGGGATACTTTGTCGAATGCCTTGCTAAGATCAATAAAAACCATGTCCAACAGATGGTTTTTATCTCTGGCTTCAACCCGGACTTCCCTAGCCAATAGTAGGTTTGTCAGGCAGGACCGTCCTGGTCGGAATCCATGCTGTTCTACAGCCAACAAGCCATGTGTTTCAACAAAGGCTAATAGCTGATCCCTTATAATAGTTTCCAATACCTTTGCAATAATGCATGTCAGACGTACCGGCCTGTAGTTAGATACCAGTTACTTATCCCCCTCTTTCAAGATAGGGATTATAATGGCATCCTTCCAGTCCCTGGGTAGTTTAGCCTGGGTCAGAGACATTTGGGAAATTTCCATAAGCAGAATATATATAATATCCGCCAGGGAAATTAACAGTTTAGGGTGAAGTCCATCCGGCCCAGGTGATTTACCTGCCTTCAGCTTAGACAGTAGTTTGAGGACCTTTGTGTGCTCTACCACAATTGAGGGCATCTGAGTGGCGGTGGCAGTGACCTCGCCACATCCCTGGGTGGCACTGTCAGACGAGTGGACATCACAGAAGTATTCAGAGAGGTTTCAACCTTTCCTTTGTCTGACTCAGCCGCGTAATATTAAGTTATAAGAACACAACTTCCTATAATTGAATAGACTCAAAACTAAAACGTGAACGAATTTCGATCAGAGTAAACTGATTTAAAGTTAATCTGTAGACTTTTGGAGCGCATAACACAACAAAAGCCAAAACTAAAACCAGGGCGTGTAAAATGCACTCCCTTTTCAAAGTTCGCGCGGTAGAGTGGGGTTGAACTATTAACTGCAAAGCAGCGAGTCTATATATTCGCAAAAAGCATAAAGAATTCAATTACGAGTACTTAAAACTGTCAGTTTTGAAATCACTGAATACCTGTTACTTTGTTTTTTAGTCATGAGGACGAACATGAAGCATTGGAGGTTGAATCTAATGACCTACATATTCGGGAGTTGTGTTTAATTTGATTTAATATATTCATATTATGGAATATGACTATGAAGAGCCAGTTGAGAAGAGATTTGAAGACCTATGTCAAGATTTATGCATAGATGGAAACATTAGAGAAGAAGCCTGGGAAAAGTACAAAGGTAAGTTTGATATGACCATTTTAGTTGCAATTAGATGTCTGGGCAAATTACTCAATTGATGGCGATCAAATCCAGTGGCTAGTATGCTCATTATACGAATGCTGTCGACGCTCCACATTAGATGGAATGTCAGGGAATGTTGAAAACGCCTACGTTTCATTGTCACGTTTGCTGTCTACGGCTAAAATGAGCATGGTTCAAGTATGTTGCACTGTATACACATTTTCCAGTTCTTTCATCGCGTTAGGAAATGGGCTGACATGACTGATATGGCAGATGAGATGAGAGACCGTCTCGAACTACTGGAGCGTCAATTTTCTGTTTCGTCCGTAGTTTTCCGCAATTTCGGTCGGTCATTTGGTGTCCTATTTTCCGACACGGATTATGAAAGTAGTCAAGGTAAGAATTTTTACTTTCAGTGATTTTCTTTTTACTCACAAGAGTAAGTTATATGATAGGAATTTATTTGTGTGTTAATGTTATAAACTGTGTTGTTTCCTTGAGTTCGAGTTAAATCAATCTTGTCTCAGCATTGCCGAGCAGGTTATGATCTGATTATATAGTTTTATTTGTGTAAGTTCTGAGTATATATATATATATATATATATATATATATATATATATATACATAACGAGAATTTCAGATTGGTTAGTAATTTGCATTCCTTGGAGTAAAATCTAGATTAGGCGTTATACATCATCATGTTCTAAGCAATATTGATATTAGATGTAGGGTGCCATATAAGGAAGGGAAATCAATCGATGGTGTGTAGATATATCGATTGAAATGGATAGGATATGTTTTGCGCACGTCAAGCAACCATCTTTTTCAATCAGCAATGTTATATGAAGTAGGGTTGGCTTAGGAGAGCTCAGGGGTTAAGTTAAACCAAAACGCTGAAAATTCCATGCTGTAAATTTTTATTGTTGTGGAATAAAGTGATTATTATTATAAAAAAAAAACCTGGCCTCAGTCCATACCTCAAAATCATTGTCAATGGTACAGGTGCATTAACTCTTTGTGATCTCTATCCCTTAAAGCCTCATGTTTGTCCATGTTAGTATTCTGTCTTCACACCTGCCTATTGTGGTTCTCTAGAATTTCGTTTGTCTTCCTTTTTATGCTTCATGGAGTGTATCAACGTAAACCTGTAGACCTCTACACAAAGTGTGATCTCCGGGCTGTCAGTACACTTTAATGACAGTGAAATATAGACTTAACGAGTTTCTTCTCTTAAATGTGTTGTAAGCCAGCTATTTTGTATATTTTATCGGTGTTATCAGAAATCCTTTAATAAAGGATGGATATGTATTAGTACATGCCTGTTCAGTTTTACTATACCGGGAAACGCACATTTATTCGGATACACCATTCATATTTTGAAAATCTAGTTATTACAGTAGTATGTCTTAGAATCGGGTTTATAAATGTCATGTTTAACAGTTTCTTTCCGATAATATCTTAAGAAAAATAATTAAGTGAATATACGGTTGAATTCAGTCTTGCTGCACGTAAGAGCCACTCATCCTAAATTCAACATCAATGTTTCCTAATGCTGTTTTTGTGTGCAATTTTACTGTGATTATTCAAACCCTATTTGTGGAATAATTCGCAAAAAAGTAATAATGTATATACGTTAGCGTATATATGTTTCACTAGCACATAATCAATAAAGTTTAATTTGGAAGTTCTTCCTGAAGCCGCATGGTTTAAGCGTCTGTTCCAGGAGATATTAAGTCCCCATTTTGTTGTTAAACAACTGATTACTAACTTTAAAAAATAGTCAAAGAATTAACTCTCTTTTTTATTATCATCACAGTGCATCCTACGGGTTCAGATTTATTCCGATTGACGTGGCTGTTATTCATAAAGTCTCGAGCGAGTTTTCCAGCAGTCACAGATGATTTGGTCAACTCCTATCACTTATTGGCTTGTTGTTTGGACTGGGTATTAGGAGTAACTATGATTTCCAGAAGACGTGATTTAATTAATATGGATCAAAATGGTTTACCCCGGGATTTTTTAAATGCTGTCGCTCAAAACAAAACCTGGTGTCCACCTCATGATCAACCGACCTGTATGCTACGTCCAATATGTGAAGATAACGATGTTAATTATGTCGAGTGTAAAACTGTGAAACAGCACTATTTCCGAATGTTTACGGCGCGATTAATCGAAAAAGTGAGCATAATTTTATTCTTTGTATTTACAGTTAAACATGTTGACTAATATGCTCCTTAAATTTAAAGCTAAGTAGAGTTATGTTGTGGAATCCGTGTACATATTTACCATTTAAGAGAATACTCTTCCCAATACCATTAAATATCGTGTCCTCGTTTGGTGTTGGAAAAAGTGAATAAACTAAAAAGTTTGTTTACTTGTTAATAGTCCTTGCTTTTTAGTAATTTGGTCAATGGAAGCTGTGGAATTTCTATATTATTAAAAGGTAATGTATTTGTACACTTGGTTTGATGGCTTTCTCCAGCTAAATCTACTTTCAAATTAAATGATGAAGTGTATCTTATGGCAGTGATATCAGAGTGAATGGTGCTTCCAAACCTCGGTGTCTGTTCTAAGATATGAGTATAGTGTAATGGTTCTGTGTAGTAAGAAACACACAGCCTAACACTTTCAGCTTAGAAAACTTAATATAACTGCTCCACAGTCTAAGTGGTCGCACGTGACGTCAGTGTATCAATATGGAAGCTAACAAAGTGGGTTGGCTAGGGGGTAACAGAAGAATGTCAATAGTGTTACCAAAAATTGTCAAAACTAATAAGCTAGAAAAGAAAAGGTAATAAAGGCGGTTAACCAAGATAGGATATTAATGCCGGCGTTATACACAAATATATTTTTAAGAGTTAGCTTGTATGGATTTAATTTGTTTCAAGTTTGACCATAGAGTAATATCAGTTAGAGAACCATTTAAAAATCAAATACTGAAAATCAGATGGCTGGGTCGAAAATAATCACCAACAAGAAACTATGGGAAGAAACGAAACAAGAACCAGTCGCCCAACAAATATGCAGGAGAAAGTGGAGATGGATTGGACACTCGCAGTTGAGGAGGCCACTGGGTGACATCGCGCGCGCGTCAGGCCATTGCTCGAGTGGAACCCGAAAGGAAAGAGGCGAGTGGGACGTCAGTGCAAGGGTGACATGGAGGAGATCGTGTGAAGAGGAGTTGAATCAGTATGGACTTAGATGGATGCAGGTGAAAAGTACAGCAGAAGGAAGACAGAAGTGACAAGTGGAGACGTGCAGTTGAAGCCGTATGTTCCACTAGGAACCCAAGGGAACAATAATCATAATACTAACATAATAGGAATATTTCATCAAATATAATTTGTCTGATTTTCTTCTTTTTCTGCTTTAACAGGAGTTAATAAAAATTCATCCTTCCGTGCTTGGAAGTTTATTGGAACCGGAAAATTTCGAAGCAACACTACAAAATTTAAATAATAATTATGAAGAATACATTATTGGAACTGGAGATTTTGATGAACGTATTTATCTGAATCCGAATGCAGCTGAAGAGATTGGATCAATTGGAGAAAGTTGTGTACAATCAGAATTTCACTTGCCTGCAGGCTTAACACCATCTGCACGTAGATATATGCTTGTAAGTTCCTCTTGATTGCTTCCTTTATTTAATTTTTGTATGTAATAATAACTATGAATATACTTGGCGTTTAAAAGTTTATACTAGATATTTGTGATGTATGTTGCATAGAAAGTTATTGTTATTTATTTATTTATCGTTATGTTTACTTACATACTATCTTGATGAATACTTTCACGTGCCATCGCCTTCTTCGACAATCAGTGATGTTAGCTGACATAAGATGGATTAGGTTGGAAAGGGAAAGCTAATGGTGGTTAAACCAAAACATAGCTTCATCAGTCAGGGAAATCCAGAACAGTTAGTTCAAGCTAGTCACGTAGGGAGGTGCAGAATTGCTGACTGGTTGAGGTCCTTGGGATGGTTAAAACCACCGGCTGAAGACAATTGCTGATATGGCTCACTATCGTTCTCAATGGCTGGCGCACATGCATTCACTCTTTGTGGTTTATGATATCCAGTAAAATTCTATTGTTCTTCCATATTAATATTTTTTTCTCACACTTCTGTTTATCTGTCTTTTGAATCTCTTTACTCTCTTCTCTTGGTTTCTGTGGTACAAGGGAGGAATGGGACAACTCAAACTACTGTACATCGGTGCAAAGTTCTACGTTAAAACCAGGCAGTCAGTCACTTTCATGTGCACCGATCGGTTGCCAATACCACTTAATGATCATGGCAACGTTTATTTTATTTCTGTCAAGAAATATTGCAGAGCATATTATAGAGGACTTTTAATAATTCCCCTGTAACTGTATTTTATAGAGGGGGATATGTTTCACTGATTGAGGCACTCAACTTTCAGTCAGGAGAGAGTCCTGTGTTCGAATCCCACCCCACCTACTTCAGCCTGGGTGACTGGAAATTATCACCAGTGCTCACACAGTAAGTGTGACTCATAGTCTGGGAAATGTCTGTCTGTCTGTTTTCAACATAGAACTTTGCACATATGTGCGGCAGTTCAAGTCGCCACACTCCACTCCCTGGAGCATACAAAGCAAGAGAAGAAAGCAGAAGAAATGCATAATGAAGACAGTAAACAACGATGTGAGACAAAAGGAATAGTAATAACGAAGAGCAATATAATTTCATTGGAAATTATAAGTCGCAAGGAGTGGATGCATCTGCGCCAGTGAGAACAGTTTCGAGCCATATCACCAATTGTCTCCAGCCGCCAGTGGTGTTTACCAGTCAGGAAGTCTACACCTTCCTGGGAAATGAGAGTTCTATTCCAGGAACTGAATTCTGTATTTATTTGATAGATACACAGTGATACAGCATTATTTACCTATGACGTTTATTACTCATGATCACAACTTTCAAACATTGTCTAAATAATGTGATTATTTCATACCTTTTCATTTCATTGGTATTAATATTTTCGGTATCCCTAATATATTGGCGTTGAGTTATTCCTGTTGCATGTGTTACCTGTAGATTGAATGAACAAAGATTCACTGATCAACCCCTCCCTCTATCTACCTACCTACCTACCCATATGACTTTTAGAACCATAGGTCTACCCCACTTTTTTTTAAAATGTTTGATTGTGTGGTTGTGCTGAGTTTTCCTCCTTGTTGTGTTCCTCTTCGTGAGATCAATCATTCTTCACTTCGCTTAATTCTTATGTCCTAATAATCGGACTTCCCCTGATCTACTGGTCTGACCTGTGTAGTTGACCTCAGAGTCATTTCAAGGTATTTTGTAGATTAAATTATTTCGTTTAATTGGGTCTATACGGAGCTTATACTTAAGCGAGCTTTATTAAAACTCCGACTTAGAGTTTTAGATGTCTCTTCTATATATTTAAGTGGTAAGACTGTAGGTGCTTTAAATTATTTCCTGTTTATGTTCTGATTATTACTTCCAGTAGTATTTTATCTTTTCTTAGTGTGTGAGCTATTTGATCTTCCTAAAGAATTGTATGGAGTAGTAGTTGTACAGCGTCAGTGCTTCTCTGTTTTATATACATGTATCAGCTAGTAAACTAGGCTAGGCTTAAGGGTTAGGCGGGAATCGAACATGGGTACCGCGTGTGGGGTTAGCAAGCGCTCAACCGTTGAACCACCGACTCACTTTGGTTGACTCATATTAACCGTTTCTCTTTTCCTTCTTCTTACATGACTTACCTCTTTGAGACGAAATCAACTTCATCAAATATGCAGATGACCTTACTGTTTCGCTTCCCGTTAAGTCTCAGTCAGGCTGTTTCAGATTAAATAGCTTCCTGTCGGACATTAGTTAGTGGTCAAAACTAAATGGCCTCATGCTGAACCCCTCAAAATGACAGACTATTGACTTCTCCTTTAGGCATAAACGAGGGGACTAAAATTGAAAGTAAGTCTAATGCTAAATACCTCGGACTAGTTCTATCTTCCGACCTTACTTGGTCATCTTATATCCTAACGATTTCGAAGAAAGTGTTCCGTCTAACCTACTACATTAAGAAACTTAGACTATCTGGAATCATCTAACCTCTACTTTCACAATTTGTCAACTCTCGTATCTTACCTATTCCACTTTACTTCCCCTCATCTTTCCTGGGCTACTGAAAAAGGACTATGCCATCCTGAGAAGGATGTTGAAGGTAGTTAGTAGGACTAGTGGTGTAAAACTCAGTCAGCTCGTCACTACATTAGTAGAAAGGCATCTGAATACATGTGAAAAATGGTCTAAAACCATACTGTCCGACCTCCAGCATCCCCTCTACTCCCAACTCTCTCCTTGCATTTCATCAGGTAGAACTAGAAATCAGTACAAAATAATATATGCTCGTACAACCAAGTACAGGAACTCAACGATACCATATTTGGCCCGTGTTCTAGGTGACAGAGATAATGTTAAGCGCGAAACCTATGACTTGCTTTATTGTTAATAACATAATTTTAGGCTCTTTTATTTCTCTCTTATTTGTATTCTATAGTGAACACCTTCTTAAACATACTTAGCTACCTGAATTGTTAACATTGGCTTACCTTTTCTATACTTTATTCTATTCCTTCTTTTGTGTATCTACTGGTCCCGACTATATTATCACTATGAGTATTACAAAATTGTCCTATCATTAACCATCATGTAATATTAGTTTTGTGGTTGTTTTTTTTGTTCGGCAATATTAACTGACAACCTTGGTTGTGAACGCCGTTATTACCATCTTAAAAGTTTTGTATTATGCAGGATTACTCACACTACCATTATAAACACCACATTAGAGCTGACAATAAAAGAACCCTGAAATGTTTATTTTATGATTGTTTAGTGTTGTTCATCAATCAAATTAACTGATCATCTTGGCGATAAACATTCTTAATATCATTTCATAACTTCTTGTATGATTATAGTTTTACTGTTCATCACGCATAAACATATCATGGCTTCCACTACCCAATACTGAGATATTATTTATTATTGTTTATTTTCCTTTCTACTTCTTGGTATTTTTTCGCATGTTTTTTGCTATTTTGCGTCGTTTTTGTTGTTTTTTATATTAATTTTTTGAAATACTCCTTTTAAATGTGCGATGAAATTAGACGCAGTATTGTGGATTAGTGCTGAAAATTCCACACCGTACTACTAGTACTGTTTCTGGAATAAAGCAAATTATTACTATTAATTGGTAGATGGTGATTAGCAGTGGAATCTAGGATGCGCATTTCGTCCTATTTGGGACTCGTCACAGCTGGATGTGCTTGCACTCCGCAGTGAGTGATGCCCAAACATCGTCGAAGCATCTGCACAAGAAGCCGACATGTCAACCTTAAGACCGAGCACTTCGGTCCAATCAATCGACGGGAAAATCTAAAATTGAATTGAATAATTTTCTCTAAATTGTTGTAGGCTTGTGTTCCTGTCCGATGACCTTTAGTTAGTTCATTCACTCTTATTCTGAGTGATCTGGACGTTTGACCCACATATTTAGTCGGATACGTGACACAAGATATTTTGTAAATTACATTGTTTTTATCCATCATTTTTATTGAATCTTTCAATTGATTTATCATATTTTTAATTAGATTCGTTGGTTTGAACTTGACACGAATCCCGAAAGCTGCTACCTTGACGTGGTGGTCGGGCTTGAACACCGCAATGACCTAATCAAGCTATACTGGCTGAGACTTATGTCTCTTGAGGTTCTACCATGCCAGGCAGGTTGTTTGGATAGCGGTTAAACAAAAAGCAGCTACCTCATCCAATACCATGATCCAAACAAATTCACAAAATTTCATGCCGGATCGGCCGTGGCCCGGATTAACAACGACCGCGCTTCCTGCTGCCGTGTCACAGGGCGGGAGTGATAAGTATGCTACTGAGGCACACAAAACAACGAAGAACGAACAAAAACAGGCCGCGTGTGACCGGCCACAAGCAGTTGTCCCCTGGGCTCTGCGGTCACGCAACCAACTTCCACGGTGTGGGCAGCCGGGAAGTAACAATCGCCCTCACAATCCAAAACGCACACAAAACCTCTCTAATCCTCACTTATCTTTGTCTTCATCTTCATCTCTATTACCTTACCTTCCCCCAGTGATGCAACTCCTCTACTTGATGGCTCCTCACTCCCTCTTCACTCTGTGTCCACTAAAAACGACGAAAGCCAAAAAACCACCACGGATAGTCTCCTAAAGCCACGCCACCAATTTCATATAGGAGCATTTAATGTAAGGACACTTTGCCAAATAGGACAACAAGCATCACTAGCTAAGACCCTGGCATCTCGAGCCATTGATGTATGTTGTGTTTCAGAAACACGCATACAAGACCCAAGTGTGGTTATTCACCTAACCCCACCTGGCCAACAGGATGAATCTTCAAAATTCACCTTGAGGGTGTCAGGAGATGCCACAGCTAGTTCACGGGATTAGCTGGCGTAGGGATAGCTCTGAGTACTAGGGCAGAAAAGACATTGCTTGACTGGATCCCAGTAGATAGCCGAATGTGTGCTGTCCGTCTGAACGGATCAGTAAGAAGGAGAAAGGACTGCACTACTCGCCGATGCCTTTTCGTAATCTCCGCCTACGCCCCCACTGACTGCAGTTCGGATGAAACGAAGGATGAGTTCTACCAAAAGCTGTCTAGTTTGGTGAGAAAGGCTAAACGCTCAGATATAGTCGTTCTAGCTGGTGACTTCAACGCTCAAGTAGGGAAATTGTGTCAATCTGAGAAGGATGTCGGTGGCACCTATGGAGTTCCGTGCCAGCGAACCGACAACGGTGACCGTCTCCTACAGTTCTGTTCAGATAATCATTTGTTTCTTGTAAGCACTAACTTTAAACACAAGGAGAGACACTGTTTAACCTGGCGACCCCCATCATCAAACCAACGCTGGACACAAATAGACCACATAGCAATAAGCTATCGTTGGCGTGGGTCGGTAGGAGATTGTCGCTCCTTCTGGAACACGTGTGTAGATACCGATCATGCACTGGTCCGGGCTCGTGTGTGCTTACGACTGAACGGACGTAGGAAACAGCTGGCGGTAAAACCATTACGCCCCCAGCTCGATCAGGAAACTAAATCCCTATTTGAGGAAGAACTAGCTAAACGCATATCTGAATCCGACAGCTGTGCTCACCCTGGAGAAGCCTGGAAGAATATTCAGTCAGCTATAGATACAGCTGTAAAAGCTGTGAATAAGACAAATCCAAAGGTGAGTAAAAACCACTGGATTTCGACTGCCTCATCCGAACTGATAGATGCTAGAAGACTTATTCCGGCGAGCTCCGAATTCAATGAGGAGCGAAAGCTGCACAAAAGGAAACTTACTAAAAGTCTCCGCAAAGACCGTGAACAGTGGTGGGTGACAAAGGCGAAAGAGATGGAAAAAGCATTGGCGATAGGCAACACTAGGCAACTCTTTAGACTCATCACAGAATCGGGCGGGAAAAGGCAATTCATAAGTGAGACTATTTCTGAGAAAAATGGCTCCTTAATTAGCTCTCAGGATAGACGCCTTGAACGCTGGAAAGAACACTTTGAGGAACAATTTAACTTGCCTACAGCCACACTGAACCTCCCCGCCATCCACCACGTACCCGAATGGGATATAGACACTGGTCCGCCGTCTGTAGGTGAGGTTACAAAAGCTATCAGTAATTTGAAACGAGGCAAAGCGGCAGGACCCGACGGAATTATTCCGGAGGTGTTTAAATATGGGGGTGACATACTAGTTTGTAGATTAACTGAGGTACTAGGCAAAGTCTGGGAATCAGAGACAGTACCATCAGACTGGGGTAAGTCACTCATTATACCGATATTCAAGAAGGGAAACAAGTCCTCGTGTGATAATCATAGGGGGATCAGCCTAACGAACATAGTCTCTAAAATCCTAGGCTCAGTAATCATGCATAGACTAAGCAGAACTCGGGAGGAACAGACAAGGGAAAATCAAGCAGGCTTTAGACCAGGTAGAGGGTGCATAGATCATATCTTCACTCTTCGACAGATTCTAGAACATAGACACACTTTTCGGCGTCCAACAATTGTCATATTTCTTGACTTGAAGGCGGCCTTCGACTCCGTGGACCGAAAAGTACTATGGCAATGTCTGACTGTGAAGGGAGTGCCAAGAAAGTACATTGCACTAATCAAGGCACTCTATTCAAACTCACGTAGTCGTGTAAGGGCTTATGGGGAATTGTCATCTGAATTGGTAACAACCAGTGGTGTCCGACAGGGATGTCCACTTTCCCCATTTCTGTTTAACTTCATCATAGATATGCTAATGGAAGTATCCTTAACTGAACGTAGTGACTTAGGAATCGACTTGTTACCAGGGAATAATCTAATGGACTTAGAATATGCAGATGACATAGTCCTGTTAGGGGAGGATGCTGACAAAATGCAGAGTCTTCTGAACACCTTGAGCAGCAATCTTCGTATGTTTGGCATGCGATTCGCCCCTGCAAAATGTAAGATGCTGCTACAGGACTGGACGACGTCAACCCCTAACTTAGTGATAGGGAGTGAAGTGATAGAACATGTTGACCACTTCACCTACTTGGGAAGTTGTATTAGCACCAACGGACTGATTGGCGATGAAATCTCAGCACGGATCCGAAAAGCTCGAGCTGCTTTCGCTGACTTACACCATCTCTGGCGTAGGCGTGACATCCGGTTATCAACCAAGGGACGTGTGTACTGCTCATCAGTTCGCTCCGTCCTTCTCTATGGCTCTGAAACATGGCCAATACGCGTTGAAGACATGAAAAGGTTGACTGCTTTCGATCATAGATGTCTGCGATCTCTGTCTCACGTTAGGTGGTTTAATAAGGTAAGTAATGTTGACGTTAGGCGTAGAGTGTTGGGCAAAGAGGGAAAATCAATCGACGAGGTTATAAAGTTACATAGACTAAGATGGCTAGGTCACGTGGTGCGCATGCCTAACCACCGCCTCCCCCGACGGGCATTGTTAGCTGATATAGGTTCAGGTTGGAAAAGAGCCAGTGGTGGCCAAACAAAAACATGGCATCAATCCATGAAATCCTTGACAGTTAAACTGAGTCAGGTAGGGAGATGCAGACTCCCGGGTTGGGGCCCTCGGGACTCTAGGAATCAATGGCTGGAGACAATAGGTGACATGGCTCAAAATCGTTGTCAATGGCGCAGATGTATTCAATCTCTGTAATCTTTCATATTCCTTTCTACCATTACCCATTCTGTTTCACTCTTATATTTGTCAAACTCTATTAATTCTCTTCACTCATCTTCTTGTCTACCTCTGTGTGCTATTTGGAACGTGGCAACTCGAACTGCTGCACTTCGGTGCCAAGTTCTATGTTGAATCCAGACAGACAGACAGGAATTTTGTGGTTTCTTCAAAATTGCCTCTGATGTATTATTTCTGTATGGTATTGTGATCGTGTTTTTCTACCAACCTCCTTCTTGTTATTCTCTGGTTTTACTCCTCTTTTTCTTTTCTTTATATTATCTCTGATAAATTCTTTTGGGTGGTTGTTGTGGAGTAACAATCTGAATAAGACATTTATTTCTTTTCACTAGTCGTTTGATGTTGTTGTAAGTCTACATATTCTGTCTTCAAGACCTTGTCTTAACCCTCATTTTACCGTGCGTGAGTAGATGAGCTGAGTGATAATCAAGGAATCTGCGAGAATGTGTAGTTTTTCTATATAGCGGCGGTTTTATGCTACCATCTGTTATTCTTTGTACTTTGCAGTCTAACACAGGTAGTTCCCCAATTTCATTATCTGTTTATGTGTGAGAAGAATTTCTCAACATCGTTCTTTTTCATTATTACTCACGTGTCGTCTACATAGCTCTACCAACATTTTGCTGATGACCTCAGTGGCTTAAGTGTATTCTCTTCCCAAAAATCCATGAATATATGCCAGCTATTTACATAACTATTCACTTCATTCTTGATCTTTTGTTTAACAAAAATGCCTTGAACTTTTTTTCTTATTCATTAGGAGGTCAGTAATTCAGGTTTTGGTGGCTTTACTGAAACTACACGACGTGGTAATACCAATGCTGGAACTATTAGTCGTCTTAACGGAGGTGTTAATTTTAGCAATCCTGAGGCGAGAAGTCAAAATCTCAATCAATTACAAGTTAGTTTATTTGTTATACACATTGGCATATTTTAAGTGTTTTATGTGTGTCTGTGTGTGTGTGTGTATACTGCAGATGTTTTTCTTTTTCTTCTAACTTCCAAGTCAAGTTGTTTATTAATTCTATATGGGACGCAAGCAATTCTATGGAGACAGCGATAGTCGAATAAGTAGAGTTTCCCCACATCCTCAGCTCGGAAAGGTCAATTTTCACAGATTTAGAGCAAGATTTTACACACTGAAGCATTGTAAACCTGACCTATGACAGTCAGGTTGACGTCACGACAGTGCCAGAGGTGGCCCGAATTGGCGTATGTCACTCTACCTTTCACTATACGGCTAGAGATCTCGTCCGCCATCACTCACGTAGCTAACTAAAACACGAACTTACCGACAATTTCAAGTAGTTCATCTGTAGGTATGAGTTCAGATACAGCCTCACGCGAATCTTGCAATAGTAATTCGCACTTTAACGGTAGAAAGCACAAATCAGGGTTATAGACACTGATTGCCAACTGACTGTGAATGCGTTTCAGGCAGTCTGCATACTATCCCCTGCATACTCGAGGTTGAAAAGTCTTTCTCCAGGAAGTACATGCACACCACACACGCCCTCCAGAGCTGACTTTAGAACATCACTGATGGAAAAGTTAAAAAGAAATGGAGAGGTTGGGCAATCCTTTATAACCCCACATTTGGTTGGTGACAATATTGATAGCTTGTTGTATGCCCTTACTCTTCGTGACGCGTGTTTTTGTATGGGGCTGTCAGGGTGTTAACAAACTTCTCAGTCTAACAGATAGCTTATTTATTCATTATTCAGTATGCGTCCTGTTTTACTTTAGGTAGGTGGGTATACGTAACCAATTATCTAACTTTCACAATATTAAGTTTTTTTTAAAAAATATATCATGATGTTTGTGTTTTATCTTTCCTACATAGATATTATTAAATGGTCGAAATAAAGAGCCAAGTGAAGCTTTAGTTGATCTTATTAAAGCGCATTGTTCAACGTCACCATCACCTCTTCCTGTAATCCGTCAAAGACTTGAAGATCTGGGTGGACAATTTCAACGTGCCTATGCTGGATTGAAGACTTCAACTAGTAGTAGTGGAGTGACAGTAACACCGACGTCAACAGCAACTAGTTTAGCTGTTTCTGCTGCACAACAACGCCTACAATTATGCTATCCACTTTACTATCTGGCTTTGGAGCGTATTTTAATGGATGAAATTCGTAGGATTGAAAAAAGACTAGACAGTGTCACTCCGTTGTCTAGTTCTTCAAACAGTACTACTACTACTACTACCACTAGTGGAGGTGGTAGCAGTTCAAATCAAACACGTCGTGTACGTCCTGACCTTGGACCACTGTTATCACAAGATACTTTTCATCGTGCTTTGTTCATTTGTTGTATGGAAGTGGTTCTGTTAAGTTGTGATCCACCAAATCATCATTTCCCTTGGATTTTACAAGCTTTAAATTTGGATTCACTGCATTTCTTCAAGGTGAGTGTCAAATATTGTTTTTTTTGGATTTTTAAGGTGTATATGCATGTGCGTCGGTGGTGGTGGCGCAGTGGTTACGACGCTCGCCGACCATGCCCCATGTTGTCCGGGGTTCGATTCCCGGCCAGTGAACGCACTCCTCCTTTACCTCGTTAAGCCAGAAGTAAAGCTGGTAAAGCGGAAAGGTTGAGCATGAGGCTAGCAGCCCCATCCTGTAAACATAAATAAACACTGTTACAGAAACTTCAAGCCTCTAGCTTGAAGCCCTGTGTTCTACTGGGATCGTGAAAAATTTGATCGGGCATAAATATTGATAAATGGTTGGAGACAATTGGCAGATAGCTCACGGCCTAGATGTTGTGTTTTTTGTCATTTCTTCGCTAGAAGTATCTACAACCTTGAAGCGTTTCTTGTTGTCCCTCTTGAGATTCGAACCTATTCCACCCAGCCTTAAAGTTAGAGACATTACTACTGAGCTGTTCAGACTTGCGATTGACCTCCTGTAGTTCTGTAATAAATACCTTGATTGGACGATAGGTAGCAACCAAAGTCATAGTTTGCTGAGAGCTGTGTCCTAGCCAAAATCGTAGACAACAATTTACGTCAAAGTACACGTCCCGAATCGAGGTCATAAGAAAAACAAGAACAAAGACTAACTCAACAACCAATAACAGCAGACTGCGTTGGCGGATACGATTCTCAGATATGCGGTCAGACCTTCGAAGAAATAGTCACAAGCAGATGACAGAATAACCTTCAGCGAGAAAACAACCAATCAGAAGACGCTGTTTCCTTACTAACAAGGATATATAATGTTGTACATAGAAATCTATAAATATCCCTTGATTCCCTCAATAAACGATTTATTGCCTGGCCCTTGTCTTCTGTCGTTACAATAATAATAGTAATCACTTCATTCCAAACTGATGGGTTGAGGTTTCAAGTTAAATCGGTTATTCTGTTTGCGTCAGAGACTTGCACTGCGCATCACGGAAGGCGCATTTCCAACAGATTGCAGGCTTCTATCACCAACTTTCCCCTTGTCTGACAGTATACCGAAGATCAAATGGCTGGCCGGTTAGAAAGAATTAGCAACAAGGAACTGTCGGAAGAGACTAACCAAGAACTTATTGTCTAACAAATATGTGGGAGAAAGTGGAGGTGGATCGGGTACACGCTACTGAGAAGGTCGTCGATCGACATCGCGTTCTATGCAGGCCGTCACTCAAGTGGAACTCGAATGTAAAGCGATGAATGGGTCATCAGTGGGAGAGTGACATGGATGAGTTCGTGTGACGAGGAGATGAGGAATTATGGGCAATTGTGAACCTAGCTAAAGGGGGCAGCAGAAAGTAGAACAAAGTGGAGATGTGTTGTTGAAGCCGTATGTTCCATTGGGAATCCAAGGGATCAATAATAAGACCAAGACTGATTCCAAACAACAATCATACAGGATGGAATTTCAGCGTTTTTATGCATATTGCAGCAATTTTATCTCCTTTTTTAGAAATGTGTAAGTACACAAAATTGAAAACTAATAAAGCCACAAGAACTGAAAGTCTGCGGAACGGTATGAATTGCAAATATATAATGCATTTAATAATGATAATATTTGTTAAACTTTGCAGTTCACATACAAATTTAACAAGTTTATAAGTTGTCTTCTGCTATTCGTCTCTTCACGAAAAAAACTGTGCCAAACATGTTATGGTGGAATTTTTATATTTTGCTGTACAAGCATAAATCCTTACGAAATCTATTCTGGTCTTACCCGAAGAGAGACACAAGGAGAAAGTTGAGAATTAAGAGGAAGTTTGGTATCAGATAAGATAACTTTAGCTGACTGCTTACAAGAAGTGAAGTGCCTATTGATAATAATGACAGTTAGTTGGGTCAAAAGCGCACCACTAACCCTACGCTTACAGCCTTCAGTGTTCTACGTAGTAGGATGTAGTCTTTTTCGAGAAATCCAGGAGAGAATAAGGTCAAAGAAGACGAATAGGCAGAATACATGAATTGATGAATTGTAACAGAAGAGGTTGATTGAGTTATTCCAGTAGAAAGTCAGTCTCAACTTCTTTATGTAATAAGTCAAACGAGAAATTTAGCTTAGAAATCAACAGGATATGCTTGTAGTCCCTCGTCTGGTGCAGACTGAATTCCACCAGTCAAGTTTGCAATGTGGTCGTGGTACACTCTGTGAATTGTCCTTATTAAGTTGTTGGAGGGAACCAGCCTCCGGGGGCCTTGGACACATAGATTTCGTGCTTGTTGGCATCCGTCACAGCAAGGTGGATCTGCAATCTAGGAGGAGATTTTGTCCCATCTAGGATTCGAGACTGGATCACCCAGTGCATTGCACGCGAATATACTTTCAAGTGATGGTTTGCCGGGATTGGATTGGTTTAAAGTTACATCTCATGAAGTGACACCAGTTAGAAAACTATTATGAAACCTCCAGGAAGTACTTGTTAGGGCGGATGACATATCATTGTTAGCCATAAAGTCATAATTGATGCAATTAATCGGATATTGATTATTTATTTATGGTTTAAATTTCCGTGGATGTCTAGCCGTTAATGGAATGCAGTTTACATAAAGTCAGCTGTAGAAGTACTGCCAATAAAACAGCATTCAACATCTCCGATGTTCACCGTATCGTCCACAGTCAAATGGTCAAGCAGAACGTTTTGTTGATACACTCAATCGAATCATTCTGGAACGAAGGGACGTTAGAACAAGTTCTTCAAACGTCAACACCAAATCCATTGACTACGACTGGACTGTCACCTGCTGAACATATCTTTAGGCGTAAAATTCATATTTTGCTGTCGATAATCTACTTCCGAGACGTAAAAAGGAGAAATCAAGAAATACGAAGATGAAAGGAGAATACAATCAACGTCATGGGACAAAACTCCGACATTTCTTTGTCTGTGAATCTGTTTAGGTTCGTGGTTTTCGAACTACTACACCTAAATGGATAAGAGAAGCAATCGAAGAGAAAAAGTGTACAGTAGCATACAATGTGAACGGCAGAGGACTGCTGTATTCAAGACATACATAAATACATACCACTTCAGGGAACGAGAAGGTTCTGTTAATACTAGCAACCAGTTTCAGGAGAGTTTACCCATGGGTTTTCTGTGCAGAGGAGAAACTAGGCGTGAACCACAATTGCCGGTACTATGAAAATCTCAGAGGTTACGCAGACCTACAAAGTATGCTGGGTTTGACTCTAAACTGAGAACTTGGCAGCCGCAAGGATATGGTCGATTATTTATTTATCATTTAAATTTTCTGATTGCATGGGGGATTTCATCATGAGCTGACATCACTCAGAAAACCATTGGAAAGCCAGCGGGAAATGCTGAACAGGTGTTTCATCTTAGACTGGGATTTTTAAGTAGTACGCACACACTGAGGTTCGAACCCACGCCCACTAGTGCTTGATCCATTAGTTCATGATTTCCCACTTCTGCCAGTTCACGACATAGCGCGACCATTTCGAAATGTCTTCTTCGAGGAGTTACTGCCTCATCTTCAACCTGCTGTACCCTACTGGTCATGGCTTCCCACTAGAACCCCAGGTTAACTTCCTGAATAGGGCCAGTCACTGGTGAGCATCAGACTAATTTTCAAGTATTGATTTTGTAGGGTTTTTGTTCGATTGCATGGAGGATTTCATCATGAGCTGACATCAGTTAGAAAACCACTGGAAAACCTGCAGGGAGTACTGGACAGCTGTTTCGGCCTTGTTTGGGACTCTTCATCAGCACGCACCTGCCGGGGTTCATTGATGTGTAAACGGATGTATATGCTATGTATTGGGAAGAATAAAGGTTGTTGTTGTTGTCTCAGTGTGGGGAATATTTCTTAGAGATCAGATGTTTGGAGGTGCATTGTAGTCAAGATAGACAGCAGCCAACAAAAACAGTAACATTTTGTTACCACAATACTCGACAGTTGTTTCGTCCTGGCTCCGGAATGTTCAGCAGTACGCACCCAATAATCCCAGCAAACACGGAATCCAGAATATTTAGGTTAAGAAGCAGGTCAGGCACCACTACCAATAAATCCCATCGGTGAGTGTCTGTCCTCAAACACGACTTGGTTGACCTCACTGGGACCTCGAGAATTCCATCTCGTAAATAACAGATTCATCTCAAAGTGTTTTTTCACCGACTGGGTTCATCAGTTCACAAATATATTGTTATGCTAATCGCATCATCTGACGACTAGATGACTTTTTGCATCTTTACTGAGAAAGAAGAAATATAAAACTTCTTGTTAATTCATCATTTGCTTACTCATCATTTTCTTGTCATATAGGTAATTGAAGTTGTCATTCGTAATATGGACCTGCCACGAGATGTTGTAAAGTATATGAATCAAGTTGTTGAGCATATTTTAGACACATATGCCTGGCGATCTACTTCACCGATATGGTCTGTACTTAAGGCAACAGGTCGAGCTCCGTCTATTGAAGAAGTTATACCACCTGAAAAACTTGATCAAGTAAGATAACTAATTAATTAATTAAACTAGTATTTCCATTAGTCTATTTAATTGAACTTTTAAATCAAACTTTTAAAAACTTCAACGACTCAGGGATTGACTTGTTACCATCAGGTAATAATCTCGTTGTCTTAGAATATGCAGATGATATAGTCCTTCTAGGTGAGGTGAAGACGCTGGCTGACAAAATGCAGAGTTTTCTGAAAAATTTGACGAGCAGCAATCTTCGAATGTTTGGTATGCAATTCGCTCCCGTAAGATGATGATACTTCAGGATCGGTTTAAATTGACTCCTAGCTTGAAAAAAAGGGAGTGAAGTGGTTTATGGGTCGTGTTGACCATCACTTCACTCATTTAGGTGGTTGCATCAGACCCAGCGCGTTGATCGCTGGATATAAAAGGTTAGTGTGGCATATGCCCGCTAACTTACGCCATCTGTGGCTTAGTAGACATGGTATCCGGCTGTCGACAAAAGAACGTGTGTACTGCTTGGCAGTTCGCACTGTCCTCCTTTATGGCTGGCTGTGCGACACATGGCCATTGAAAGTGGAAGACATGAAAAGGTACGCTATCTGTCTTTGATCATAAGTGTCTGCGTTCCATCTTCCATGGAAATTGGTTTAATAGGGTGAGCAATATTGAGGTTAGGCATCGATCGAGTTAGTGATAGGTAGGTGAGAGGGGAAATTAATCGACGATGAGGCTGTGAAGTTACCGTGACTTAGATGGTCAGGACATGTGTCACGTAGGCATGCCTAGCCATCGATCGCCTTCCTTGACAGTGGGTGATGTTATCTGACATAGGATGGATTAGGTTAGACAAGAGGGAGTTAGTGGTAAGTCAAACGAAACATGGCTTCATTAGTCAATGAGATCCACAACATTTAGCTTAAGCTAGTTACGTAGGAAGGTGTAGATGTCATGATTAGTCGGGGTCCTCGAGACGGTAAAAGCCAATGAAGGCTGGAGACAATTATTGGTAGCATGGCTCAAAGTGATCGTTCTCTGTGATGGCTGGTGCAGACGCATTCACTGTTTGCGATTTATAATATCCAATAAAACTCTTTTGTTCTTCCATATTACTATTCTTTTCCCCTCACTCACAGTTCTGTTTATTATCTATCTTTTTTTGAATCTCTTTACTCTGTTCTCTTGCTTTGTGTGGTGCATGGAGGGAGTGTGGCAACTGGAACTACTGCACATCTGTGCAAAGTCCTACATTGAAACCAGTCAGTTACTCAGGTCAGGTCAGGTCAGGTGGGGGGAAGTGTTCGAACCTGTAACCCCCTGTTAAGGATGTCATTCCCTAATCCAATGAACCACAATTCCAATAATAAGATTAGTTTAAAAAACTTCATAAAATTCTTCCGATTAATAAACTTTAACAAAGCAATAACAACAAATGTGTACCAGGAGATAATATGAGTTCATTTTTTAAAATTATTTTGAGGATTCTTCTCAGTTAGCTACAACCTGAACAATACAAAAAGAAATATAAATTATTTATTTTTTTTATAATTTTATTTTTTAATTTTTTGATTACAGCTTGATTCCATACTGTGTTTTTGTTAAAAGTATAGAATTTTCAGCATGCATGTGATATCGGTAGCCCAAATTTTGCAGGCTGACCATAGATATTCGGGTGTGCATCGACAGGGGATCGAACCTCGGACCATGTGCATGGTCGGCGAGAGTTCTAACCACTGCACCACCGACGCACAGGTTTGAAAGTACTCCTTCCACTAGGACAAGGGGTAATCGGTAGGAACTAAAAAAGTAGCATTATTTAGGAATGGTATAAAATTGTTAAATAATTAAAAGTGAAAAGGATTGACTATTTATAGGCAAATTAAACGAGACTACGCTTGGAAATTATCGGACAGAATTCAACAGATTTTTTGTGGATAGAAACAAAGTTTAACTAGAAAGACTATAGAAGTATACTAGGTTACGTAACCACAGAAAATGTTTTTTTTTTCTAAAATAACAACCAAAGAGGAGGGGAAAGGGTAAGTCATGTTTAAACGGAAAATAAAGTTTTCTAAACAGGACAAAAGATGTAGTAAAATTTGTATTCTCTACTATCATCAAGACAGTACAAAATTCACCGCACCTTCCTTCTGTGTACATATATATATTTGGCTGTGTAATCGTTTGATGGCGATTGCCTTCTGCAATCGGACGCCTTTAGATTGTCCACATTATAATCACTGTCCAATAGATGGTGAGCAATCTCACACTCTTTAATGCTCTCGTTGACCTTTTAGTCTCAGATTGTTCTTTTTGGTATGTGTTCAGAAATGCGAATAACAACCCCTTTGCTTTGGCGTGTGCATATAAATTGGCAGACATAATTGAAGGTAATATGAGATGGGGGTTTGTTGATTCTCTTATGTATCTTAAACAACTGGTTGTTTAATTGGTGGATGGTGACTAGCAGTGGAATCCAGGATGCTCATTTTGTCCTATTTGGGACTCGTCACAGCTGGATGTACCTGCATTTCCCAGTGAGTGATGATGTTCCTACTGAGGCTCGAACCCAGTGCCCATAGTTTCAAATGCCAAAGCGTTATCCACTAGACCACTTGGGCCATGAGAGTCACGTCTCTTGTGCAACGGGTGCTACGTGGGGGGGGGGGCTTAAGTTTATGAATAGCTATAGCCTCAGCGTATTTCAGTAAGCACCCTTGACCGTTTTTATAAATGACCTTAAAGGCTGAGTTAACATCAATCTTATGGTTCATCTCGATTAGATGTTTAGCTACAAACGAAGTTGGTAGTCTGCCACCTGCGTTTATCGATTTTCCAGAATTCATTTGTCTTTCTAACCATTTCGAGATATGCTCTCCCACACTCACATGCAAAAGCGCGCTTACTCCTTCCTATGTATGTGTGTCCACACACACACGCGAAAATTGGTGAATAGTGTGGGATGTGACATAATCACTTGTGCACTTTTGAGGTTTGCAGTGAAGCATATTTCTAGCTTTTTCGATAGTTACAAGCTGGGCTGTATAATAGGTTCTACGGATGACCGAATTCAACCTATGTCTCAAAATCCTACTGTTTATTTCCCCATAATTTGATGAAAACCTTTTACTTAGAGGCGGTATAGATTTTAGCTTTAAAGACTAATTTACTTCGACACCTGTGTAAAAGTTTTAAAGGATATCCGTTTTCAACAAGAGTATCCATTAATATTTCGTTTTCTTTGCCTATAACATCAGCCGTGCAAATACGTTGAATCCTTTTAAACAGACATTTCACCGAGCCTCTCTACTGTAATGGACAGAAACTGTGAAAATTAAGGTATTGCCCTGTCCAAGTGGGCTTTCTGTAGATAGACCGTCTTATTGAACCATCATCTCTTCGACTCAAAAGAGTATGTCTAAAAATGCAAGCTGGTTGCGAGTTTCTTCCTCGCATGTAAGACTAATATGATTCTGTACAGAGTTAAATCTATCTAATAGACGACTTGCATCTTCATGATCGTTACATATCATATCTACATATCTCCTATAGAAGGGCAATCTAGAAAAATTAAATCAAGGGACAAATTCTCAATATAAGACATGTAAACGTCCGCTAACAAAAGTCGTAATGGACTCCCCATAGCAACACCATCCACTTGTCGAAAATGATCACCTTCAAACGTGAAATGCACGTTGTCAGTACATAATAGTACATAATACTCGAGGAAGATCTAGATGTTTTGGCTGCCAACGACCTGTGGATTGAATCATGTATAGCACATACAGAAGATTTTCTTAAACCATTCAGGGTAAATTTGCATCCCCCTCCATGTTTTGTAACTTTGTTAGCATCTGTTGATGTTCTAAGTTTCTCATTTTCAGCAGAGAGTGGGCAGGTAAAATGTGACACATTTAGACCAGGAATAGGTTGTATTGATCATCATATCTTCACCCTTCGACAGATTCTGGAACATAGAAACACTTGCTGGCGACCAATAATTGTCATATTTCTTGACCTGAATGAAAGTGGCAGTGTTTGGTCGCGAAGAGAATTCTGAGAAAATAAATTGAACTGATTAAGGCAATCTATTCGAACTCATGCAGCCAAAATAAAAGGCGATGGAAAGTTGTGATATGACGTAATAATGGCGGCAACCATTAGTGTCCGTCAAGAATGCCCACTCTCCCCATTTCCATTTAGTTTCATCATAGATGTACTTACTAATCGACTTAACCGTAACTGACCTCAGTCACTCAGTGATTGACTTGTTACCAGGGTATAATCTCTTTGACTCAGATTATGCGGGTATGATGTAGTCTTCCTAGATGAAGATGCAGTCTTTTGAACAGCTTAAGCAGGAATCTTCGATTGTTTAGCATGTGGTTCGCTCCTGTCAAATGTAAGATGATGAAATGTTTCTCACATTAGTATGAAACGGTGATTCTTAATATATGACGGTCATAAAACTGGATTCATGGACATGCTGGCCTTCTATCTGGAAGTCCCTGACCACCACTAACTAGTTCTTTTCCATCCTAATCCTGTGTCAACTTCTAACATTTCCCATCTATCTGTCTGTCTGTTTTCGACATAGGACTTTGCACCGATGTGCGGCTGTTCAAGTCGCCACACTCCCTTCATGTAGCACACAAAGCAAGAGAAGAAAGTAAAAGAAATGCAAAATAGAGACAATAGACAAGGATATGGAACAAAAGGAATAATAATAATAATATTGAAGAACAATAAAGTTTCATTGGAAATTATAAGTCACAAGAAGTGGATGCATCTGAGTTAGCCATTGAGAACGATTTTGAGCCAGCCATATCACCAATTATCTCTAGTGTTCATTGGTTTTTGCCGTCCCGAGGACCCCAACCAGGAAGTCTACACCTTCCTACGTAGTTGGCTTAAACAAACTGTTGTAGATTTCATTGACTGATGAGGTCATGTTTTGGTTTGACCTCCGCCAGCTCTTTTCCATCCTACCCCTATGTCAGCTAACATTGCCCGTTGTCAAGGAAGGCGATGACTAGGCATGCGTGCGTAATACATGTCCTAACCATCTCAGTCGATGTAATTTCACAGCCTCGTCGATTGATTTCCCTTCCTTACCTAGCACTCGACGCCTAACCTCAGTATTGCTCACCTTATTATGCCACTTCACATGGAAGATAGAACGCAGGCACCTATCATCAAAGACAGCTAATCTTTTCATGTCTTCCGCTTTCAATGGCCAGGTCTCACAGCCATGAAGGAGGACGGAGCGAAGTGACTCCTGAGTATTGCACCCGCCGTTTGGTCGATAGCCGGATATGACGTCTATTAAGGCAGAGACGACGTAAACTGGCATATATGAAACTAGCCCTCTGTATCCGTGCTGAGATTTCGTCAGAGATCATTCCATTGGGGCTGATGGTACTTCCCAAGTAAGTGAAGTGGTCAGCGTGCTCTACCACTTCACTCCCTATTTCTAATCTAGGAGTCAGTGTATTGCAGTCCTGTACCATCAACTTACATTTGGCGGGAGCGAATCGCATGCCAAACATTCGTAGATTGCTGTTCAAGGTGTTCAGAAGACTGCATTTTGTCAGCGTCTTCGCCTAGAAGGACTATATCGTCTGCATATTCTAAGTCAACGAGATTATTCCCTGGTTGTAGCAAGTCAATCCCTGAGTCGCTGAAGTCACTTAGGGTTAGGTCCATTAGTACATCTATGATAAAGTTGTATAGAAATGTGCATCCTTGACGGACACCACTCCAGATGACAACTCATCGTAAGCCCTCACCTGGCTGTATGAGTACGAGTAGAGGGCTCTAATCAGTGCAATGCATTTTCTCGTCATTCCCTTTACAGCCAAGCATCGCCAGAGAACCTCTCGGTCGACGAATGACGCCTTTAGGTCAAGAAATATAATGATTGTTGGACGCCGGTAGGAATGACTATGTTCTAGAATCTGTAGGAGGGTGAAGATATGATCAATACACCCTTTTCCTGGTCTAAAGCCTGCCTGGTTCTCTCGTGTTTGTGCCTCCCGAGCACCACTTAGTAGTGTACGCAATATTATTGAACCTAGAACTTTAGATACTATATTAGTCAAGCTAATCCCTCTGTGATTATCACAGGAAGACTTGTCTCCCTTCTTGTATATGGGGATAATCAGTGACTTACACCAACCCGACGGGACTTCTTCTGATTCCCAGACGCTGCCTAGTACCTCAGTTAATGCAGACAGTAAACTGTTTCCACCGTACTTAAATACCTCTGGAGTACACATTTCCCATAGACGAAGATAATGGCCAGGCATGCATACCACATGTCATTTCCTAGCCATCTCAATCGACACAGCTGCTTTGCAACCTTGTTGATTGATTTTCTCTCCTTGCCCTTAACACTCGACTGAAGCGTAACCAGCGTCGCTGACACACCAGGTAAGGACATTCGCCTACCATGCACATGGCCTGGGGTTCGATCCTCGGTCAGTGTGTACACCTGATATCAATGGTCGACCTGCTAAATTTGGGCTACCGATATCGCATGCTGAAAATTCCATACTTGTATCAAAAATACTGTGTGGAGTCAAGCTATAATAAAAATTAAAAAATTTAAAATTCAAGTGCTGGTTTGTAGGGATTTGATTGGTTACAGGATTTCATCATGAGAACCATTGTAAAACCAGTTGAGAGTACTGGACAGCTGTTTCGTCAGCCTAGTTTGGGACTCTTCAGCAGTACGCACCCACCGGGATTCGAACCAAGGACCTTCTGGTTATAAGGCGAGCTCGTATACCATTAAGCCACTGGGACCCGATCCAATGGCCAGCCCATGAATTCTAACTTCTGCCAATTCACGACATGGCGCGACCACTAGCCCATGTCTTCGGCGAGTATTTGTCCTCACACCTTACCTGCTGCACCCTACTGGTCACGACTTCCCACTGGAACCCAGGTAACTACCTACCTGAATAGGGCAAGTCGCTAGGAACATCTCATTGATATTTAAAATTTAAATTTAAAAAAATTGAGTTTAAAAAAATTTCTTTTTTAGGGTTCTAACAATTTTTACACACGCAATTCTGTTGTATCTACTGATCAAAAAGTTATAACTCCTAATCTGATGTCTAATAAAGCCTTAAAATTATCACCACCAACCTCTGAGACTAAACAACCACGTATAACAGGGATTATTTCTACAATCCCAATAAGTCAACAACAGCAACGACAAACTTCTACTATTCATCGATTATTATCTTCCGGTGTAGAAGATGAATCTGCTCAAGCTGCAGCTCAACTTCTGGCCAGTGGAGCTACTGACAATACTTCAGACAATAATCTAGACCCTAGTCTTCTTGGAACAGCTACTGATATTAATCAGGATACTACAAGCGTAGATATCAAGCATATCCCAGAACAACTGGTAGATGATTATATTGTTAACAATGCTACAATCTCTATAACAACAACAACAAATACAACAGATTCAACGCATAGTACAACATCTATTCCATGGTCATTGTCTTCTGCTTCTGGTGCTGGCGGTGTTGGTGGCGGCGGTAGTACAACTAGTCTACCCAATTACTTTCCTACACGTCATGATTCCATTGCTATATTCTTTCGACAATTATATCAAGTAGCTAGTTTACGATTAAGAGATTTATGCGAACGTTTAAATCTTACACGTGAACTTATGGCAAAAATTTGGACTTGTGTAGAACAGGTTATCGTGCATGAAACTGAACTGCTCAGAGATCGATGTTTAGATCAGATTATAATGTGTTGTTTATATGGGATATGCAAGATTGTTCTTTATCGACCATTAACATTTGTTGATATAGTTCATGTAAGTGATTACTAACACTAGATGATGTTTTTCTCTTTTTTTTTTAAATATTTTTCATTAATTACAATTATCAAAAGAATGGATACTGAACAAAGAATACGCTTTTCGATAACTTCATCATCAGACTCTACAGTTATATATACACATCATAGTGAATGAATGAATCAGTGTTATGAACAACATTAATGCTGTTTAAGTAACATCGAATCAATAATAATATCACTAGATTACAGCTCAATAGCTTCAACATAACAATAAACTGAATGTCAGAAAAATTAGGAAAGATAATATTACAAATTCATGAATTTATAATCTCTACTGAAGGCCGGCCAGGGCAGTAGTAGGCGCTGGACTTGCTTCTTTTGAACACAGAGCACTGGTTGTGTGAGGTGAACTGCAACAGCCTTTGCTGTTTGGAGCATGTGGTGCTTCGGTGATTTTGACAATTTACTTAAGTACCCGGTAGATTACAGAGAAGGATTATTCCACGCTGACTTTGTGGCCCGTTTGTACCAGATGGTCCAATATGGAACTGTTGATGGTTTTAACCACACCTTTACTTAGCCATACTTAAAGATGTCCCTGAGCGAGCACGAAAAATCAAGTTCCTAGAGCAACGGCCAATATAACTCTCTCCATCACAAGCGCAGTTGAATTGGTAGATACAATTTGAAGTGGCTAGCTAGTCTAGGTACTTCATCTTTCAGTCGAGATAGCACCATCGGTCGTGTAGTGAATAATACGTGTAGTTGGCCAGCATTAAAAGTTCTCTGAACTGATTTTCTTAATCTCCTCGCAATTATCTCGCTTGGTATATCGCCCTTGAATTGTAGTCGTATATAAAGAGGCTTCTTGTTTACAGTTAGTGAGTAGTCCTTTTCAGCTTTCTTTGTCGTGTGTTTCTTGATAAAAAATTTTTTCGGGATATCTATTTTCGATCAAAGTATCTTATACAATGCTGAATTCATCTTCAATTACTTCTTCTGAGCATATATACCTCCAAATCTATGGTTGAGGGTCTTCACTAAATTTCTTTTGTACTTGATAGGAACGAAGCTGTGAAAACGTGTATATTGTCCTGTTCAAGTGCTTTTTCTATGTAGATTTCTTTTTATGCTACCATCTGGTTTTCTTGTTTATGTTTACGAAATGCATAAGGTGGATTAATATATTTGTCATTTTAAACTCAGTTTCCGCAACAGGCTATTTTTTTTAAATCCCAAGCTATGAGCCACACATGTCGTCGTGTGTGTGTGTGTGTGTGTGTGTGTGTGTGTGTGTGAGGAATGTTGATAAAACTGAGTTGTCTAAGGCTGAAAAATACATGGAGAGGGATTCGAATCCTGGGACCGACTACTGTGGCTGAAAGTCGTCGAGTGCTTATTAAGCCAGTATACTCACCAACAAATTGTCTGAAGAAGCCGCGAAGACAAGACTCCAGGTGAGCATAGAGAAGATGGAGGTGATGAAGATAACCAACCAACAATAACGATAGCCAGCAGCAATCACCATCAACAGGAGAGATTTGACAGAGGTTACTTATCGGCTTCACTTATCTAGGAAGCATTGTCTCAACTACATGCAGCCGAAACGGATGAAAATGCCAAAGCCTGCCAGCCAGCAAGAATCGTCGGGAAGGCAAGATACGCCTTCATCAACCTGAAACCAGTTTGGAAATCAGCGCTCCGTGGCACAAATGTGAAGTTAGCCAGTTCTTCTATATACGGCTCAGAAACTTACACTGCGCGACACGAAAAAGCATTCCAACAAGCTATTGTTGACTTCCCTGGCTCCACACTGAAGATTAAATGGCTGGTTGGCCAGAAAGAGTTAGGAAGGAGAACAAACCAACCAAGAGCCGATTTCTCAACAAATATGTAGCAGAAAATTGAGGTGGACTGATCAGGCGTTCGTTGAGTAGGGCGTCGAATGACATCGCTTGGAATCCGGATAAAAAATAACGAGTGGGTTCGGTGAAGTTTTGGTGAAGTGAGGAAGAGCTGATCACAGAATATGGGCAAACGTGGACCCCCAGGTGAAGAGGTCAAGTAGAAAATAGAAGAAATTGGAGATATGCTGTTGTAGCCTTGTGTTCCACTCGGAACCCGAGGGAACAACAATATAATTAATGATAATAGATATAGGTACGATAAGTAATAAAAATAATGCCTGTTTATAATTTTTTCAACTTTGATGTTGATATATATTATACTAAATTTTTATTGTATCTTCTATAGTTTGGTTTGTAAGGGTTAGTTATATTTTTACGAGTTGATCACGGATTGATATCAGTTAGAGAACCGCTGAAAATCAGGGAGTACTGGACAGCTGCTGTTTCATTAGCCTAGTTTGCGAATCATCGGAAGTACTCACCCACCACCAGGGTTCAAACCCAAAACCTTCCGGTTGCAAGTCAAGCTGGCTCGTATACCATTCAGCCACTGGGACCCCATTCAATGACCAGCCTATGAATTCTAACTTCTACCAAGTCGTGATGTATTTAGCGCGACCCCAACCAGTGTTGTTGGTAGGACATCCATCCACACACGTGACACCTAATTTGGACCTCACTGGTCACGACTTTTCACTAGAACTCACTCCAGGAAACTGCATCCTGTAGCAAGTCAGTCACTAGCGAGCATCAGATTAATTTTCTATAGTTTGGTTTGTAAGGGTTAGTTGGTTAATTATTAGTTACGAGTTGATCACGGACTGATAACAGTTAGAGAACCATTGAAAACCAAGGAGTACTGGACAGCTGCTGTTTCATCGGCCTAGTTTGGGAATCATCGGCAATACGCACCCACTGTAAAAACGTTTGGCAAGCAAAAACTTTAGTGTATGACTTATATACTGCTAACTAAAACATGAGTAGTAGTAGTAGTAGTATCATGTGAAACAAATTTCGCATTATTTTTTCTCCTATTTTTACTCTACTCTATTCTCAATAGGTTTATAGATTACAGCCTCAATCTTATCGGGATGTCTACCGGCGAGTACTCATAAATCGTGTATCTTATGGTCGAGGAAATACAGAAGAACGTGGTGATCTATCACAATTTTACAATGTCATTTTTTTACAACAAATGAAAGAGTTTATTAAAAAAGCTGCAGCTGTACGCTCCACCTATAACGAAATGGATCCTAATAGTAATAATACTAATACTAGTCATCATCATCAACCCAATCAATCATTCGGTAGTGATTCACAATCAAATGATGCTAATTCTGTCCTAAATCAATGGACACTTCATCCATCCTTATCACCGATGCCTGTACAAATGAATATTTTAGCGTCATCAAATTCTACAGCAACTGCCAATCTAAGAGTTGATGCTGGTGCAGCTACATCAGGCGATATGATGCAAGCAAGGTAAGTTGAATAAGCATTTTAGTCGATTCTACTAAGTTCTACTTGTCATTCTCATGACCCATGGGGGACAACTGCTTGATACCTCAGTCACACACACACACATACGCAGTTGTGACCTGACCGTATTTAAGATCTTACCGTCGCTAAGTGTTAAGTCGGGATTATGCAGTTTTCGGGGTCTCTCAAGAGCTGTAAGGCAGCAGCAGCTGGAGGCTGTCACCTTCCTATTATTCATCATCACTAGTCAGTCGTACAACGTAGCATATAGATCTCTAAACTAGTGCAAAAGACTTGTAGCATAATGGAAACTGCCTTTTTAGCCTAATCGTTACTCCAACAACATTTCTGGTATAGTAGGACCTCTGCAAATGAATATCAGTTTCAAACAACTGATGTAGTTCTTTGGGTTATTTCAATATTCAACAGGCCTGATCACCACGTGAAGGTAGTATCAGCTATTGGTCGGATTTCAACATAGAACTTTGCACAGATGTGCAGATGTACCATTCTCCCTCCATATACCACACAAAGCAAGAGAAGAGAGTAAAAGGAGATTTGAAAGACAGAGAGATAATAAATCGAAATGTTTTATTGGATATTATAAATCACAAAGAGTGAATGCATCTTCGTCGGCCATTGAAAACAATTTTGAGCCTCATCACCAATTGTCTCCAGTTGTAATCGGTTTTCAGCCTCCCGACCACCCCAAGACCACTCAGGAAGTCTACACCTCCCTATTTGACTGTGTCTGGTTGGTTTAAACTAACTATTGTGGATTTCATTGATCGATGAAGCCATGTTTTCGTTTGACCATCACTAGCTTTCTCTTTTCCAACCTGATCCATCCTATGTTAGTCAGCTAACATTGCCCACTAATACTAATTCTCTTGTTTATTTTTCACAGTTTATGCTGACATTCAATTTAACTTTGTATTTGTGTATATTTTATCACATAGACATGTTTGGTAGCTGACCTTAATGATTAGATGTTATTTAACAAATACTAATGATATAAGTAACGCCTTCTCCTCATCTCTTATGCATATTATAACCATGGAACCCGATGGGAAGTCATCGACACGATTGAAATTCATATGATGCTGGAGACATCTCTTTATTATTATTGTTCCCTTGGTTTCCTAGTGGAGCATAGGACTTCAACTGCACGTCTCCACTTGCCACTTCTGTCTTCTGCTGTACTTTTCACCTGCATCCATCTTAGTCCATACCGTTTCAACTCCTCTTCACACGATCTCCTCGATGTCACCCTTGCATCGACGTCCCACTCGCCGCTTCCTATTCTGTCGGGTTCTACCCGAGCAATGGCTTGACGCGCGCGCGATGTCACCCAGCGGCCTCCTCAGACGCGAGTGTCCAATCCATCTCCACTTCCTCCTGCATATTTGTTGGTTGGCGATTGGTTCTTGTTCTGTTTGTTCCCATAGTTTCTTGTTGGTGATTCTTTCCGACCCGGCCATCTGGTCTTCAGTATAGATCCAGCGAAGACAGTTGTTGGTTGATGAAGGTCTGCAACAAGCTGTTGGAAATATTCTTTGTGAGCCGCCTGCCAAGTTTCTGATCCGTATAGAAGAGCTGAGTCACTTGACTTTTGTATTGAAAATCCTACCGACTTTTGTTATTGATACTGGCTGAGTGACGAAGATTTCCAGATTGGTTTTAGGTTGATGATTGAATGTGTTTCTCGCTCGCCTTCCCGATTCTCGCTCGATTTGACATCCTCGTCCGTTCCGACTGCCTGTAGTTGAGACAATGCTCCCTAGATAAGTGAGTGAATGAAGTAACCTCTTTCAAATCCCTCCCGTTGATGGTGATTGCAGACATCTCTTTAGTCATTTAAAATATAACAATACTTCTGGTTAAAAGGAAGACATGAAAATGCGGGCTAGCTAGCTAGCTGTCTTTGACCATAGAAGATGTCTGCGTTCTATCTCCCATGTTAAGTGACATAACAAGGTGAGCAATATTGAGGTTAAGCATCGGTGGAGTGTGCTAGGTAGGTGGGAGGCGGAATCAATCGACGACGAGATTATGAAGTTACAGTGAATGAGATGGTTAGGACATGCGTTACATATGCCTAGCCATCCGTCGCCTTCCTCGACAATGGGCGATGTTAGCTGACAAGGATGGATCAGATTGGAAAAGGACTAGCGCATGCTGGTCAAACAAAAATACGGCTTCATCAGTCAATGAAGTCTACAACAGTTTAAGTCAACCAGTCAGTCACATAGGGAGGTGTAGACTTCCTGATTGGTTGGGGTCCTCGAGACGGTAGAAACCTATGAAGGCGGGAGACAATTGATGATATGGTTGAAAAACGTTCTCAATGATGGCTCAGGTGCACCCACCCTTTGTGATTTGTAATATCCAATAAAGTTCTATTGTTCATCCATAAGACTATTTTTCGCCTCATATTTCTGTTTATTGTCTGGCTCTCTTTTGGATCTCTCTTTACTCTGTTCTCTTGCTGTGTGTGGTAGAAGGAGGGAGAGTGTGCCAACTCGAACTACTGCACATATGTGCAAAGTTCTATGTTGAAACCAGTCAGTCAAGTTAAAAGCTTTCTATACATGTCTTCAGTTATTAACATTTGCAGTTATTATTGTAATGGCTGACTGTTGATATATGTGGAGGGTGTGTGTATGGATATGCACTACAGTCTGAACCCCAAGACTGGTGAAATCAACAATTAATCGTGAATAATGAATTTCTGTAGGAACTGAAATCAGGAAGCACTGCAACGGTCGCAACAATATAAAAAAACACGATGACATCGCTTTGTTAAATTACTTACGGGTATCACTGATATTATCTCACCATACTTATTCAGCAACACATTTCTATATTGGATTGCTCTCTATGCAGTCAGCTGACTATGATTCCCCACATGTTTCCATTTCTTCCTCCTCCTCCTCCACGCGCATATCGTCGTTTCCCATTTGGGGTTCCACTCGACAGTCAGACTTTGGTATTTGTGATGTCACTGTCTTCTCAGGGTTTTTGTCTAGCCAGTCAACCTCACATCTTCCTTCAGCGTATTTATTAGACGATAGCTTCTAACCACCAAATTTTCTTCCTGCTTATTTTTTGACCATCATCTCATCTTCAGTGTGTGTGTGTGTGTGTGTGTGTGTGTAGAGCTAGCGAAGCCGAGTGTTGATGAAACTCACCGATGGCCTGTTGGGAATCGTTTTCGTGACGACCTAAATCTCTGAACCATACATCTTCCAAGTTTGGGAATCATCGGAAGTACTCACCCACCACAAGGGTTCAAAGGCAAGACCTTCCGGTTACAAAGCAAGCTGGCTTGTATACCATTCAGCCACTGGGACCCCATTCAATGACCAGACCATGAATTCTAACTTCTACCAAGTCGTGATGTATTTGGCGCGACCCCAACCAATGTTGTTGGTGGGACATCCATCCATACACGTGACACCTAATTTGGACCTCACTGGTCACGACTTTTCACTAGAACTCACTCCAGGAAACTGCATCCTGTAGCAAGTCAGTCACTAGCGAGCATCAGATTAATTTTCTATAGTTTGGTTTGTAAGGGTTAGTTGGTTAATTATTAGTTACGAGTTGATCACGGACTGATAACAGTTAGAAAACCATTGAAAACCTGGCTTGGAGGACCGGAAAGCTGGCCTAGTTTGGGAATCATCGGAATCAATGGTTCTCTAGTTGATATCAATCTGTGACCAACTCGGAGAAAACATAACTAACCCTTACAAACCAAACTGTAGAAAATTAATCTGATGCTCGCTAGTGACTGACTTGCTACTGGATGGAGTTTCCTGGAATTCTAGTAGGTGAGTGCAGCAGATTTCCAAACTAATTTCTGAACAGATGAATGTCCACTTTGTTTTTCCGATCCCAACTGTGGCTTTCAAATCCTCAACCTTACCGCGTCTGTAGTGAAGATGGTATTAGTATTTATTATTAGGACAACGGATATTTCTGAAAACCCAATACACACTTCTACATTGATTGGTTTCACAGTTTACAAGTCAATGTCATTTATTGCCTTTGTTTATCATTATATCCCTAGCCTAGTACATTCTTATCATTCAGTGTTTTTCTATTAGCACGTAAACTAACATTGCTTCTTTGAGCGCACCATCATATATACTACTTTTATTTACTTATGAATAGGTAGTATAAAACACTACAGTACTGTATTGTTATTGAGAAATTCACCCAACAGAGAGAGTGTGTTAGTCGAAGTACATTCTATTTCCTTTTTTCCATGATTTATTAATTATTTTCAGGGGCGTATTTTAGATTATTTTGATATAAGAAATATTTACTTATATCTGTAGGGTCATGTTATCGTGGAGAAAATTTGTAGCACACTCAGGTGGTGGACGATTTTGATTTGGTTGTGTTCTCTGAACTGGTTGATTAAATTGCGAAGGTTTATTATGTATATTATTATTACTTATTACTCCCTTGGATTCTGAGTGGATCATAGGGCCTGAACACCACATCTCCGCTTCGTTCTATTCTCTACTACTGATATGTATCCATATATATATATGTGTATGTGTATGGTGGTCTCTCTTTCTGTTTGCTCGCTTAGTCTGTGACCATTTAACTTTGATGAACCTGTCTCCTTTAACAATGTATATTCCCCTTATATTATATATAATATGAGTGTTTGTTGACAGTCCGTTGCTTGGTGACATATATCCATATTATATGTGTGGTTGTTGACATGTCTGCTATATTTTGCTATGTATATATGGATCGATACTTCATTATAATTAGCCATTCATGTTAAGACTGTCCATTGATTTGTTCACACCCTTGTCTGGACATTCATATATATTTCGCTCTCACAATTTGTGTGACTACTTATTTTTGGTGTGATACCACTTATTGCTTCTCCTTGTGTTTGGAAAATAGAAGTATCATCGCAAACCTAGTGGTCTTCTGATTTCCGCCTTCTTGCGTCAGGACTATTAAATTCTCGACCA